AACAGACCACTGACTAATACGGAGGGCTAAATAACTACACAGTGTTTTCCTGGGACATATTTTGGCATTACAGCACCCTACAACCAGATTCTAATTTTGTAGCCCGGTCATATTACTGCAAGGTTTGACCAAACCTCGCTTCACGCCAAGCCGCCGCCAGCAGGTCGTAGAGCCGATGCTCCGTCACCGATGGCAGCGTCTCGTGGACACCCAAACACGAAACCTCGAGATGTGTCTGCAATAAGCCAATTCGAATGTGAATCATTGTGTCTATTGAGCACAAACAAGTTGGGTTTAGTTGAAATAAACCAGTGGGTTTGTGTAAAAACTCGATGCAAGTGTCGAAACGTGTTGGACCTCTTTAGGCCATGAATAAAAACTGGTTCATTTTGCAAGGAGATGAGTCAAAATGAAACCAGGAATGGCAGCGCCCCTAGACAGCCACGGTAGTAGGCCTCTGTGAGGATTTGTTGCGAAAGTCATCCATCCCCTTGCTTGACGCTAGAATTGGCCCTCTTCATGCATTGAGGGATCATGTGTGTGTGTGTGTGTGTGTCAAAATAGGGGACACCAAAAAGGGCAGTTCCCCCTTGGTTTTCCTTTGAACTATGCTCAAGAAGGGTTGCCGTCAAAACCATCTCCATTGGTCCATGTCATGTTTTCCGAAGCAAGCTGACGAATTCAATGCAGCCAGGGGCGGTGCGCCGCTGTTGAAGGACTCATGCAACACACAAGCAGTTAGGTCAGATGGGTTCCGAAAAACTGCCCGACTCACACCCAGCTCACTGTAGCTGCTGCCAAGACTAAGCCTCTTCCCAAGGCTCAGGGGTCTGTGCAGGTGCACGTTCATGTTTTTGGTGGCTGGCTATGCGAGCGAAAGGACTCTCGTGTCTCAGCTAATCTTCTGCCCGAGACACGTTGGGGCGGTTGCTTGCCAGAAGTTGAGGCTGCTGCCAGCTCGTAGTAGCGACAGGCCATGAAGGAAAGCTCCTAGCCACGTTTTCGCCAATCGACAATGAAGTCTCCCTCGAAAAGCCACGCCCCATCACTGATGCAACTAGGACCGGACCTTCTTTCGTGCAGCCACTGATTCAGCTAGGCCCCGGCTCCATGAACCCCTTCCGGTCCCCAGGCAGTCGGGAGGTCAGCAGCTCTGTGAGCAGGTCCCGGCGGCCCTGCGGCCAAAAAGATCGATGCTAAGGTGGTGATTGGTGGAAAGTGGAACAACCAGACTGGAACCCCACTAGAGGGTGCCTTCAGAAGACAATGGTGATCGATTGCGGCAACATCACCTGGTTCTACGAGCCGGGCGCACAGCCTCCCGCCAACACATGTCTAAAACTTCGCAGATGTCCGCGTGTGAAACCGTGTAACCATTAAACAGGCTGCGCGGAGTGCTTCCATGCACATACTCACAAAAAATGCCCCAAAGACTTCATTTTGGCATGAGGGAGCATTTGGCTATTGCAGATTCAAGTTGAGAAAACATTTCTAGCATTCTGCTTTGCCCGTGCGTGTGACTCCATCCAAAAGCTGCGGAGTTGGCATACTGACAGCCCGCAAAAGCTGGTTGCCCAATACCAATGGGCGCTCTGGTGCTTACACTGCTGTGTGATTGCAGCGGGAATTGCCTTTGGGGCATCTTTGCACAAAAAAGAGGGGTGCCGGCATGTTGAACTCCTGCCAAGCGGAGTCATCCCTATGACGTTTGCGAAGGGACAGAAGGGACCCAGGTGTCCACCCACCCACCCACCCACCCACCCACCCACCCACCCACCTACCCACCCACCCACCCACCCACCCACCCACCCACCCACCCACCCACCCACCCACCCACCCACCCACCCACCCACCCCCACCCACCCACCCCACCCACCCACCCACCCACCCACCCACACCCACCCCACCCACCCACCCACCCCACCCACCCACCCACCCACCCACCCACCCACCCACCCCACCCACCCACCCACCCACCCACCCACCCACCCACCCACCCACCCACCCACCCACCCACCCACCCACCCACCCACCCACCCACCCACCCACCCACCCACCCACCCACCCACCCACCCACCCACCCACCCACCCACCCACCCACCCACCCACCCACCCACCCACCCACCCACCCACCCACCCACCCACCCACCCACCACTCCATCCATCCATCCGTCCATCCGTCCATCCGTCCATCCGTCCATCCGTCCATCCGTCCATCCGTCCATCCGTCCATCCGTCCATCCGTCTATGCCATCCATCCATCCATCCATCCATCCATCCATCCATCCATCCATCCATCCATCCATCCATCTATCCATCCATCCATCCATCCATCCATCCATCCTCCCATACTCCATCCACCCGCCATTCAGACATTCAGTTCTATTTTAGTTCAAAATTTGGCACCCACCCGCCATGTCATGGAACGTGGAGGTGAGTCAACGTTGAACATCTTGGGTCAACCTGCTAGCGGAAGTCGGAGTGGGGCAAGCGAGTACAAGCCAGAAACCTGGCTGCCTTCTTGCCCTGATTTGTCTTCTGACGGAGGTCGGCACAAATGTGCCCCAAGAGGCGCTTCCGGCCTTGTGGCAAGGCCGACGCTCCTCACTTCGGTCAAGGCTAGCACCTGGATCCATTGCAGAGCAGTTTCCGCTCGCAAGCGTTGGCTTCCTGGCTGTTTTCTCGTAACCAGTGGGGTGTTTCTCCTAATGGATGCGACCCCTCCAACCCGTGGGTATGTGTCAAACTGCACGGACCCTACTGGCGGTCGTCCTTCCCACCATTTGCACAATTGAGTATTTCCTATCTACTGGCAATCTGAGACCTGCTTAGACAGTCGTCCATGTAGACAGAAACTTCAAATATGTAAACGTGTTGGAAACCTTTTGCAAGTGGGCGTGTGACAAGTGCAGGGTGTTTAGAAAGTTGCTCAATCAATTTAGCTGCTGTGGACGACAGTCTGACAGCTCAACATGAGTGGCTAAACGGAAATGTCAAGCTGCAACTGTCTGCAACCTCTCAAGTGAACTCGGTGTCTGGAACAAGCAATCCCATATATACACTTGCAAATGTTGCAAAAACCTCTTGATTTCCACGGAGCTACTTAAGGCGTGCAGCCCAGCGTCGTTTGTTCGGCACCTCCCCCTGGCACCTCTGAGTACTGCCTTGGCTGTCTCGGTCATCCAGCCGCTGAGCACCTGGCCAGGCTGAAGCGGGAGCCCAACACAGAGACCAGCTGGAGGAAATATAGGAAACTAGCCAAAGACCCGCCAACCAAAACGGGGCTTGGCTGATTTCCTGCGAACAATCCGGTGGCTGGTTTCTTCGACTCATTCTGGATCTTGGCGTCAAGGCTAAGGTTCAACCAAGAGTTGTGAGTGAAGTTCGACCTAAAATGAGCGTTCAGCGACTCTAAATGCTCTATGTTTAGCGGCTGTGAGCGCCCGTTGAAACGTATGCTCAACTCCGAGTAAAACTTCCCTCGATTAATGATTTCTCCAAGAAGAGGCTTTAGTTTGCCCGTCTAGCAACAGCGCTACTCGAGGAGATACGTGGCACTTGCAATAGCAGGTCAGTGGCTGAATTATCACCACTCTCCCACACTCGTAGAGAGGTCAGTAAGAGATCTGGGAAACCCAGTCAGATATCCCATCCCCAAGGAACCCGCATGGCTTTGGCCCAAGGAACCCGAGAGTTTTCAGAGCTTCGCAACGCTTGCCAGCCACACAGCCCAGGCCCGGATCCAAGGGACCGAAGTCCTGAGACATTGTGCCGAATGTCGTTTTCCCTTTTGGTCTCCCATCAAAACCAACCTGACATGGGTACCCTCAACAACCAAACGAACGAACGAACGAACGAACAAACAAACAAAACAAACAAAACAAACAAACAAAACAAAGCAAAACAAAGAAACAACACACACACACACAGACACAAATGCCTGCTGAAAACAGAAGAGTCACGGGAGGGAAACCTGCCGCAACTGTATTACTTTGACGCGCATGTAAAACTTGCCGACGTTCCGCTGCACATTCTCCCACCGTTGGTGCAATTTGGTGATTTCGTGTACTATTGGCACTCCTGAGACCTGCTTACAGTCATCCATGCAGACAGAAATCTCAAGTTTGTAGACATATTGGAAACCTTTTGCAAGTGGGCACATGACACATTTGGGAACCCTTTCGCGGCCTAGGCAAACTAGCAATTTGGAAAGGATACTTGCTCACAAGCTACGTTCAAGTTGCTCAAATGATCTAGCCGTTCTGGGCTACAGGCTGACAGCTCAACATGATTGGCTGAATGGAAAAGTCAAGCTGCAACCTTGCAAGTGAAACCCCCGCTCGGGGCTTGGACAAAGTAGGCTTGGTTGATCCCAAAAACACTTGCAAATGTCGCCCAGCCTCAAATGTGTGTGTGTGTGTGTAGTTCAACCACCAAGAAAAGGCCCAGGTGATGTCCCAACAGCAAGCCGCGGATCCCTTCCGGAACCCCGGAGCCGCTCCGAACCACTCTAGAGCCTATGCGGGTAGAGACCCCAAAGTTGAGAAAAGACCAGCACTCCCAACACTGGGGCCCATGCTTGCCGTCGGGCACGGCCTTAATCAGCCATCTACTGCTTTGATCTGAAGTGGGCAGAAAAGCCCATCGTTTGGGATGCTTTGATTTCATCAATCGGGGATCCAAAGTGCGAAGGGCACCAATCACACAAAGGCAAGCCTGCTCAGAGCATGGCATCAGCGTCGTACAGGTCACTGTCTCCATCCTTGATTGAGCTCGCAGTCTGTGCTCATCACAAACTGATGATGTTTCACCTGAGCCTGCAAAACTGAGAACCGCGAACCCGAAACTGATGCCCTGCTAATATTGTCCGTGGCTCGTACGCACACGTTGCAGGCTAAAAAGCCTTGTCAAACAAGGAAAGCAGCTTGCCAGCTCAAGCCAACACAAGCCAAGCCGCCGACCAGAAGCACGCCAAATCTCAAATCGACCGCTGTAATGATTCACCATGGCCAGCTATCCGAGACCCCTGCACTGTCACTGAAGTTCACATGCTCATCCTCATCTGTGTCTTCATCTTGAGGTGTGTCCTCGGCTGGGGATTGAAACTCGGCCACATCTGTGCGTATGTGTATATATATATATATGTATGTACACATCTGACCCCTATATATATATATACACGCACATGTATATGTAATATGTATATATATATATATATCATGTCATGTCATGTCATGTCATGCGATGACATACATACGTAGTTAGGTAGGTAGGTAGGAAAGGTAGGGATATGTATGCGTATGTGTATGTGTATGTATATGTAGATGCTAGATGTATAGTATGTGTATACGTATATTATATGTGTACGTATATGTACATGTTCATATGTATATGTGCATATGTTGTATGCATGCATACAATGCATGTATTTATGCATGCACTTCATGTATCTATGTATGCATGTTCTATGTACCTGTGCGCATGAATGTGGGCATGTGTGTGCGCATGAATGTGGGCATGTGTGTGTGTGTGTGTGTGTGTGTGTGTGTGTGTGTGTGTGTGTGTGTGTGTGTGTGTGTGTGTGTGTGTCTGTGTGTGTGTGTGTCTGTGTGTGTGTGTGTGTGTCTGTGTCTGTGTGTCTGTGTGTCTGTGTGTGTGTGTTTGTGCGTGTGTGTGTGTGTGCTTATGCATGCCTGCGTGTGCGTGTCATGTATGCACATATGCATGCATGTATGATATATCCATGTATCCATGCATGCATAAAAGTAAGTATGTCTGTATGTGTTTGTGTATGCATGTATTCATGTGTGCATGTATGTATATATAGGTATCAACATATTCATATCTTTGAAAGATAAGCTTATGTAACAACTTATGTATGCGTAGATACCCTTGGTGTGTCAGATTGCTTTATCTGGATCAGAGTCAGGAAAAGTGACTCGCGCAGAATGCAACTAGCCAGCCAACCATCGGCAGCCAAGGCAGCTACCCACCTACCAGTCAGCCAGCCACACAGCCAACCAGCCAACCAACCGACCAGCCAAAGAGCCAAAGAGCCAGAGAGCCAGAGAGCCAAAGAGCCCAGGAGCCCAGGAGCCCAGAAGCCAACCATCTAACCAGCCAACGAAACACACGAAAAGGCGCATGAAATAATTAAAGACGCTACCGCACCGCCGGCAAGCGGCCGGCTTTGTGTCTTGCCCCGCTTCTCTCTTCACCTGGAGAGCTGGCTTCGTTGGCTCCATCCGCTCCCTCACAGAGCCGTTGAGCACGGATTCCCGAGGCGCCTCCTCACAAATCATCGGCGCTTCTAACGTCAGCGTGTGGGTGCTGCTCAAAATATGGGACCCGTTGTTGGATAGCTTTTTTGAATAGCTTTTAAGGGTTCCTCAATTCTGAGAAACACCCGTTTGGCCTTGCAAGTGCCTCTGGCAGAACAGGCGCCCCAATCCCAACGTTGATACAACTACTGGACATAGTTGGAAACACAAAACATGCAAGTGGCTTTCCAGGTTGCATGTTTTGCAGCCCTGATCACGAAACAAAGGGCACTTTAAACGGGACATGACAAGGGGTGTGCCCTGTGATTCGAAGGGTTCTCATGTTTTCTGTTGTTCATCAATTTGATCAAAGATGAAACCTGGTGCCAAACCTTAATCCAATATAAGAATAAACAACTGATACCCCGAGCGAGCACAAACTGGACTTTGTTCCCACTAAAAGTTCTTCTCCCCAATGCTACACGCAAACAAATAGCTCTTCCACTCCTTCACAGCGGGCATATCCGGCAGAGCGCCGCCGCCGTCGTAGTCCTTGTACTGCACCGAGTAGCTCTGCCGCTCGCGGGAGAAGCGGACCACCGCACGGGGGCGCACCTTCGGCACCTCCTACGCGAGGTGCAAAGTGGGGGCGGGATCCCCCTTTTGGTCATTGTTTTCTGGTCTGCCCTCAGATCCCCGGCGAAAGGTTTAACTTTTCGTGGGTTAAATGGAAACTACCACTAAGCACTAAAAGGCTAAAAAGCTGTGGGGATGGCTGGGAGCCACCAAGTGTATGTTCTTCTAAGAAAAGAACAACACAAAAGAATATGAGTGGGTCCCTATTGTCCTCCCTTTAGAACGACCCCGCAACATCATACCCTATACAAACAACCCCCCATTGTGGTTCCTTCATACCAAAGTGGAATTCCCGATTCCCAAGACGTGATCAGAACCACAGCAGACGAGCACCGAAAGCCTCATAGGGCGCTCCCCAGGGCCCAAAGTGGTCATCATAACCACAGCCCAAAGTTGTGATTTATGAGACATTGCAGGGAGGCCCCCTAGAAAGTCCGCCCTTAAGTACGGCACGAGTATGGCCTTACTATGGCATACTGAGCTCTACCAATTCTTTTCAAAGCTCAACATCGCCTTCTTTCCGGGGACCCCCATAGGGGGAACCCCTGCATGGTCTCCTGAACTGTCTACTATGCCTTGATAGACTCCGAGAGTGTTGATCGAATGGAAACCCAGGAATAAGAAAGCACTGCTTCAGTAGAGGGGGCGTTCCTTTGACTAATGAGTGCCCCATGTCAACCCCGGACTCGCTACCAGTCCCTCACTCCCGCGGACTCAATGGACAGACTTTCTGGAAGCCCATTGCGGAAGTGAAGCTTGGGAAGGCTGCCGCAAACCAAACCGGATTTTGTACCCTGGATGTGGGTGTCTCTCTTTTGAGGACGTCCTTCTTTGGGTGTGGCTCGCATTTCTCGGGGCCCATCAGATCCATTCCGCGAACCCGGCGTCGCACGGCTTCCTTGGCCTTCGTCTCGCTCAAAGCCGCCCGAGTGGAAGCCACCGCCGCGGCAGGCCGAAGGTACCTCGAAACCCTCCCCTGGGAGAGTGACGTGTTTAGTCGGGGGGCTGCTAAACTTGTGGAACGCTGTTGTGCTTGTCGAGGCTACCTTTTCGACTTGGCAAAACAGAAACTAGAGTTGAACAACTACCCGTTTTGGGGTTGGCCGGTAAAACGGGGTCCACCATCCTGAGACACTCCCATATACCCAAATGCACACATTGGACCCACACTTCCAAAACTGCTTCACAGTTTACATGCGATGCTTCATGACACGTTGGACGGCAAGCGCTGAGCATGACCTGCTGAATAAACGACACAGCACACTCCAAAGCGAGAAAAAAAAGGGAGCAGAACCAATCGTGAGAAGGACGGGGGTACCAAAATTGGTGCAAGTTGCAACAAATCCTTGACATGTATGGTTGGAGGGCAACGTGACAAGATCAAATTCCTGGCTGTCTGTGGTCTTAGCATTGGCAACACACGATGTGTTGGTCAAAACAATCAAACAAATGATGTGCGTCCATCGCTGCGGTGCATCATTGAGTTACAGCAACAAGTTGGTGCATGCTTCTAACTTTAAGAAAAGAAGCACTACCCGACGCTTGCCATCAACGTGTTCCGAGTTGTTGCTGCCTGCCACCGTGGTCAAACCAGGTTGGAAGGAGCAAATGTTCACCGGAGAATTGGGTGCGGTTATCGAATGCTATGGGCTCGCCTAGCTATGACGCTGCTCCTGTCATACCATTCCTCATGAACGGAACAACGCAAACATTGCCTAGAACATGACATGGCGAGGCAGTGTCGCCAGGAGATCAGCGTCCAACCTTACTCTGAAATCTTCACGCATGCCCATCCAATCTTCACGCTGAACTTATAAAATGAAAGAATCAACAGCTCCCTGACATGGATCGCACAAAACAAGCCGTTGACATTCCGGCCCTCCCTCGAATTACCAGATCTTTGCTTTACCCACTCTCAAGCCTCCACCTCACCTCAGCCCTGCTCACACCTCACAGTAATCCCTTCCCGCTTTGAAGACATGGATCCTATTTCATAACTACCGTATTTTTTTCCAGACTGGCTGAAACAGCCGGGTCCCCAATACTACTTTTAAAATAGCCCAATGCAAAACCAATACTAAACTGTCCGATGTCTCTGCCCAGACCAGCCCAAGCCTTATTAGGGGGCTCCTTGCACCAACCCGACACCAAATTCAAAACGCATACTTCCTTTTTCTAATCTACAATCATTTCTTGAATTGCAATTCTAAGCTTCAGCTGCGCTCTTTACTTTTGAACCGCAAGCACGAAAACGAAACAACCTTGAACAGGTTTTGAGGTTTTCCGTGTCCGGGAAGCGGAAAAGGGGGGAGCCCATTTGGACGAGGACCGAAGAGGAAATCCGGTCGACCCCGCAGGACCCTATAAATGAATATGTTTGTCCCCCACAGAGTGTTCATTGTTGGGGGGGGGTCCGCATTTATTATTTGGGGGAAGGGATTACCCTGGTCCAGCGCTCTTGAGCCCAGCTAAATGGCTTTACCACTTGCGTGTTTTGCCTGATTCCCCTTGAGACGGACCTTGAAACGGGAACCCTCCAAAAAACACACACACACACACACACACACACACACACACACACACACACACACACACACACACACACACACACACACACACACACACACACACACACACACACACACACACACACACACACACACACACACACACACACACACACACACACACACACACACACACACACACACACACACACACACACACACACACACACACACACACACACACACACACACACACACACACACACACACACACACACACACACACACACACACACACACACACACACACACACACACACACACACACACACACACACACACACACACACACACACACACACGGCTTCCGGGCAAAACGAGGCGCGGGGGTTCCGGCTGCAGCTGTGCCCGGAAGCGGTGGGACCGCTGGCGGCAGCCGGGGCTGCAGAAGCTCCGGAGCTCCGCAGCGTCCAGCACCTGGCGCTGCCATCAACCACTCGCTGCCCCAGACCCATTCTTGGTTGCTGTTGACCCCCCTGCAAAAGTTGTTTTGCTTTCTAACTCTTTGGGGGTTGAGTGGAAAACTGGAAAACCCCCATTGACTTCCCAAAAAGTTAAAGTCTAAAGATCCAACCCAATAGCAGTCAAGCATTGGGACCCAGTGGGACCCCTTGACTTCGGGTTCTGGCGGTAGGGGTTATAAAAATGGCTGGGGGGAGTTGGGCCCCGGAAACACCAAGTGAAGCCGGTGGCACGGCTGCTTTGGAGGGTCTGCAAAAGGAAACCAAGCATTTTTTGGGTACCCCTATTCTGACACAAAACAACATGGAAACTGATTGGATTTTTCCCGCAGCCCAGAAAAAAGTTGGATTGGCGGTTTGGACATCCCCTTGTGAGTGTATTTCCTAAAGGGACCTTCTGGGTTCCGTGTCGCGGTTCGTTGGGTGGATGGTGGGATTCAGGGCCTGTGAATAAATCCAAGGCAACCAACCCCGAAAAGCCTACCCTCAAATCAAACACCCTGAAAGTAGCGCTTCTTCCTGTGATTTCCCTCCAAAACCACCAACAAAGGGCGCCCTCAACAGGAGGAACTACAGCCATCTGTGCCTCTTTGGTGGCGTAGTTCACCGCCCATCGCTTCCTCTCCGGCACTTGGATGTTGCGCGTGCAGGCCGGGAACCCGCAAAGCTGCTCCAGGGACCGCTCCTCCACCACCGCGTCGTAGTGGGCCGCCTGATCTATCCCAAAAACCACCAAGGATTTGCCGTTCGGATCCTCTGGTGATTTTGTTTGATTGGCCACTATCCTTCAGACCCTGAGAAAGTCCGGCGTCCAGCAACAACGACCTGGCGACATATCCAGAGGGATCTCCGTGCTTTCTTGGCGGGGAACGTCCATCAGGTCCATCTTTGCGTTGGGATCATAGTTTTGCGCGGCAAGGACGTGCCAGGGACGAACCCACATGTGCAATTGAAGCGAGGTTCACATAGAAAAAAACGGTGTGGAGCATGCTGCGGAATCCCCGGAAGGATGTTCAAAATCAGCTTTCCGCAGAACCAACGCCAGGGGTTTCGCGTTGTGGGATGGTCCGATCCCCCTCTGAGGGGTTGGTGTTCTTATGGTTCCCTGAAGCACGTGCTTGAGACAGGAAGTGGATATTCAAAATGGCGTGCTTCCATTTAGTTCTGTGAAACCGCGTGCAAGTCACTGCAAGTTGCCTGTTTCCTGCTGATTTCGGTCCAGTATCAAAGGGGTCCATTCATTTTGAGAATTACTCAAAGGGTCCCCCCAATTTCAAGACTAATTAAAACGTGCCCACACTGGTCTTGTTTGGGATGCTGACAGGGGCAATGCTTGCAGGACCCTTGCGGGCGGCCAGTTTCCTTTTGGTTTTGATTTCGAAGCCATCCGCAAAGTGCTGCTTGACAAAACGAGGTGTCCTTTTTAAATGGCGGCTTGAAGTTCGTTTCCAAACAACTTTCCCAAACAGGGCAATGCCTTTGACGACCCGCACGTGTCAAAACTGAGTCCATCCAATTGACTCCACGGTTTCGCTTCGAAAAATGACACCCTGCAGGACCCCATCCTGTTCTGACATGCCGGGACTCTGGTTGAGAAACGCCAGCATCATTTTGACTTCGTGGCTCTTCCAAGATGGTGGTGTGGCTTCATAAAGGCCCTCCTATGCAACAAAACTTGTGGGTGCCCAGTTGTGTGGCTCGGCTCAGTAGCATGGCAGATCGCAAGCGTGGAAGGGTAACATTCGATCTCCTCCACACCAGCCCTCCCAGTGAGCACTCAACCAAACACCCCTGGCCTGCAGCAGTTGTTGGGCTGCCTGGCGTGGATGGGAGAGTATCAAACAATGCTTCGTCAACCTGACGTCGCATGGGTGCCTGTCGGATTTTGGAACCCCCTTAAATGGGTAGAGGTTCCTTTTGGGTGCCCTTCAAAGCCACGCCAAAAGGAATCCAGCACTTTGAGACACCCAGACACACGCAGCGCAACGCTTGATGTGATAGGTCTCCTCCCATAGTTGATTATCCATCAAGACCGATGCCTAAAACCTTTTCCAGAACAAACCAGTTGTTGACCCTGCCCCCATTCCCTTCTTCTTCTGCAGCAGCCATTCTGCGACAAGTACGCAGATGCACAAACGACCGCAACAAGGCGCTTCGGAAGCTGGACGTTCTGACAAGATTGTCAAAGGCTCATCTTGTGTGGTGGGGTATATAACTTCAAAATAGGGGACCCCTAAGAATGGTGACCGTGCTTTCGGTTTCCATTTAACGCCGCCCCCTTGAAACAAAAAGACTACCAAAAACACACACCCGTTGTATTGCGCTTGTTTGGCATTTTGCAATTCTCACTTGCCCAAAGGACGCGGAATGACCAGGCTAACCTTCTAGCACCATGGCTCGAAGAGAAGAGAACGGGAAAATCAGAAGGTCAGCCAGTAAATTCACTTGGGACAAGTCCGAGAGAGAAATGGGGAGCTGCGGCCCATGGTCCCCAACTAGGGGTGTGCAACAATGGCGGACCGCACTGGAAACCAATTTAAAGGGAAAACACACACACACACACCCACACACATCTGCCTATTTGTATGGTCCTGCAATTAGCCTCTTTCACTACTAATCATGGAAATGGATAAGGGGCCTTTTCAAGAGAATGATGGTAGTCTTCCCAAATCCTGCCTACTTCCACGATTGTTTCCAAAATGCCAAACAAATAGGAAAGGTCTTCAGATGTTGGGTCGTCAATCTGATCTTATTGCAGCCACCCCTTTTCGCATGAGAGCATGGCCCATGCGAGCGCCTCCATGAGGGCCGGCTTTGCTGCCTCCCGGACCAACTCCTGCTGGAGCTGCCATACCTCTTTGAAGTTCCTGAGTTTCAGGTCGCCCAGAAAGCATCCCAATTGTGAGGACCTTGGGACTTGTCCAATGGGAGCAGGCAACCAAGGGAAGCCTGCGAAGGCTAAAAACGAACATGGCGAAGGGTTACCTACACTACTGTCAAACAACCAAGCCACAAACCCTCTGGTAAAGACTATCCTCCAAGTATGAAGAAGAAACGCACCATGACTCGGCTTACTTTTGCGAACCATTGCAGCAAAAAAAACCAAAAACATACTGTTTGCCTGGAATCCTAGTGTCAACACGGCCTGGGGTTTAGGGCTTGGACAACACTCGCTCAGCTGGACCTTGGCAGGCACGGACACCAAACGGGACATCCTCACGAACAGGGATCGAGCCTGATTTGGGGGTGCTGGAACACCATTCGTTTTCCTTTCATGTTGGACATCAGGATATCAACGTGACACCAATATGGTGCTTCTGATTGGCTGATTGGTATGCGGTTGAGATGCAGCTGCCTTGCTTCCAGCTCTTCTTTGATCTTCCGGCGCCTGCTGCCTCAGCACAGCTGTGTGTCATCCAGGAGTTTTGCTGATTAGCTTCATTGTGGGCAATCCTCTGGGCACATCCTGAAATGGAGGGTGTTTTGTGGGCCCCCCTTTGAAACACACCAAGGGGTCCACCCATGAAAGGGGCCCCCCTTTTGGCATAATTCACAGACCGAAAATGAGGGAACCTCTTCATTGCCTCTCTCTGGCGGACAAGTCGTTGTCGCGGGGTGACACCTGCCGAGAACAGCCTAGTCCACAAGTAAGAGACACAGGGGCAAAGCCAAAAACACGGCGTACGCCGGCCACAGGCAGCACCCTGGCAGTCCAAAAATGGCAAGCGCGCCCACAAAAAGACAAGCAGAGACAGCCTCCGCGTCACGCCAAAGGACCTAACGCCCACAAAGCCGAAAATCAGAATGCTGGCCCACCGCTAGGCAGGACTCCCAACATGTGAGTTTCAGGAGTTGGCCGCGCACATCCAATTATCATTGATAAGCTGGAAGAGGCACACGAATGAAAGCGCAAAGAAAAGACCCAGCGGCACGTCTCACAAGTGGAGAAGCGCACGTCAGGGGGAATGAGGGCGCGCAGACTAAAAAATGAAGAAACACCCCGCGAGAATGCAGAGCCGCAACCAAAAGAAAGAGTCTGAATGCACCAGATGAGCGAAATCGTCGGGCCGTACCACCTCATTGGCGACACTGGGCTGGCAATCCTTACATGCAAACGGGCGCGTTCCCGGGCAGTTTCGAGCAGTTTTGGTTCTTGATTTGCGCACACCTCTCAGCACATCCGGTTTATCGGGTTGTTTTGGGCTGTTTGGCTCCTGCCTGAAACCCACATTAAGGGCTCTCTAACAACCACTCAGAAGGAGCGGATCGATGAGGAACTCCGCTCACGCACTCAGGGTCTCCAGCGATCGAGAGGCTTGCAAGAGCCGTGCGAAACCTCAGCGGGTCCGCCGTCCAAAAGCCCCAGCACAAGGCACTAAAGAACACGCAATCAACCACAAAGGACTGGGAGGTGCTCGAGCACGAAGATGACCGTGCTTGCAGTTGGGAGCGACCTGGTTTGTGGACGAGGGCCTGCAAAATGGCCTCCTGGGCCGGGCAGCCCGCAGCCAAATAGGCGTTGGGCCCAGATGGCTGGCTGAAGGGACCTTCATTCTGTGTGACGTCGCCAACCCCGCTAGCGACGTCGCTGCAATTCTCCCAGGGTCCATCTCTTTTCGAGGGTGCCTGCGTTTTGGGGCTTGGAAGGAGGACCCAAAGGAAACCGTTGCCATTTTTGGGATTCCCCTCGAGACACGTCCTGTCGCATCCATGCGCCAAGCCACTGCTGCGGGGCCTCCGCGCATTTGCCGCGGGCGCCATGGCGACAGAGCGCCTGGTTTTGGTTGAGGACGATGGCAAAACAAAAGACGCGTGTGTTCGTTATTTTGTTCGTCGTATCTGTTGTTTAATGCTTGTTGTTTGTTGTTTGTGTGGTACGTTTTGCCTAAGTGAAAATAACCACGCGCCATCAACACCGCAAGCACCCCCAGTCTTGCTATGTGTTTTGCAAGTTCAAGACTCCAGGGGGAGCTATAATATACGTTTGAAGCTTTTGCAAGGTTAAGGTGATGTCCTCTACGCCTAATGGCGCCGTTGTTTGCGATGCGCCGCATCTGTAACCTGTTCCTGCTTGAGCCGGGCAACATAGTACACCAATGCAACGCACGCCGTCAAAGCGCGAGCCGCACGTGTCGCGCTCGAAACAACAACGTCATCTATTTTAATTAGGCGGTCTCCAAACACGGGAAGCCCCAAGACGGTAGCTTCCCCTTCGTTTACCTTTCAGCCAACCCCAAAATACATCACCCACCGTCAGCAGTCACTATTGGTGACTTGGCATGATGCTTGTGTGAGCCGCCCTTGCTTTCAGTTGCTTTCCGCTGCTGGGCAGCCCGAGGAATGATGAATGCTCGACATGCCAGCTTACATGCACCATGCTCCCACAGAAGGCGTGGTGATTAATCGCTTGTCGACACGTCCACCATGCTTGACCGCACGAGGGCGGTGCAATGTGCAAAGCCATTGGGGAGATCCAACCCTGCAAGTCATATGAGCCACGATGAAAACTTCTTTTTTCCCCAAGAGGACACGGCAAAATGAGTTAGTCCCCCCAGTTTTTGCGGTACAGAAAGTAAGTCCCTGCCGTGGTAGCAAACCACTGAAGCATCCCCCATCACTCTGCTTGTGACTCGGACTTCAAGTCTTTCTTTGCGCGCAGAACGCGCACGTTGCGCTGCGGCGGTGCTCTTTGGCCCGAACTGGGGGTTGATCGAACGGTTGATTCAACATGAGTCAAACAGTCACATGTAATCGTCAAGTCAAGGTGTCGATCCGTCCACAGTGACATTGCGGCAACTTGAGGTCGACACTCTGAATCAAATGCATCTATCATTTTCTCCCCTTGCGGAACCGTTGGGGGGGGGATCTTGCGTCATTCGGAACCCAAGGCTCTCAAATCAACCGGTGCCTGCCAGCGTGGGCGCCATTGGCGCAATCTCAGACCTTGGGGATGTCTGGCCTTGGACCATTGGAGCAAAAAGCCTTGGACGCGTTGATTGTCACCTTCATCTCCTTGGCTATGGCCCCCTGTGCAAGAAGTTTCATTGTTTTGCTGAGGGGGAAAACACACACACACACACACACACATGCTTCGCAGAAGTTAAAGACACCAGTCGAATAGCGGCCGAGTCTCAACGCCCCCTTTTTTCTTGCACCCTTGAGCCGAATCAAGACCGACAAGGCCGCCAAATCAAGCCAGCTTTCTTTCTGACATACAGGCTTTGAATCTTTGAATTCATCCACTTTGGCCGCCTGCAAGCAATTATCTGGAAGCGGCATTTGCCATTCAGCATTGATATCCCACAAAATGCCGCTCGAGCATGCAGTTGAGAGATGTGACGAAAACGACCGCACCCACCTGGTCACCTGAGCCCAGAACTGGTAGCCACCTGAGAAGTTCATCCGGGTCTGTTCCCCTCGCTCGCCGCCTTGCAGAATGCAGCCATGCAAAGCACCCCCTCATGTACAAAGCCCCTACTGTACTGGGACGCGCCCTCTGTCGCACATCAGTATTTCAGAAAGGCAAAGCGACAGGCCAACAGGTTCCACTACACAGTTTGTGCTTCGGAGAGCAACCTTGCTGAAAGAGCGCAAGTGAAAGATGTTGAATTCAGAGATCAAGTGACCCGGTCGCACAACTTTACCTCGAGACCCATCCCCCAATCTCCGGGTGCTCTGGCAACCTGACAAACTCACGGGAATTCAGAGAATTGTGGGGTCCAGGTGCGCCACAGACAACAAACAAAAACATGCTGAGACTTCTAGATGGGCAAGCTACCATACAGTATCACTCTTGGTGCCATGTGTATCAGTCCAACTTGATTGAGACAGCTCCAACCATAATCTTGATTGACTGGTCAAGTATGGAAACCGGGTGCTTGTATGCTTGCGGATTGATGCCTTTGCGCAGCAGAATTGGCATACCTATGCATACCTTTTGTTTTTTGCTGACCACCTTGCCCCCACCACCTTGCCCCCAGTCAATGCAAACTGACGCCTCCACAGGCGCGGACGTAGTCGGAGTGCCACTTCTCAGGCAGCAGCGCACCAATGGGCACCTGCCCGCCCTCTCCCCCGCCCCCACCCCTTTATCTCTTCGGGTATTTGCATCTTTTCCGAGTCGCCCGGTGCTTTTCCGTGACACCATTCATCGATGTTGACGAGAAACTACGGTCTTCCAAATTTTCTTCCATTTGCCATGATTTCTTGCTCAAGAGCTACCATTGCGCGCACGGACATTTGACTCTTTGGCATGGGATGGGGGTTCGTCTTATGGAAACGGCGCTTAGCTTCCTTTGCGGCAACTTATGGGAATCTGACCCCAGCGCGCCTCGATGAACTCTGGCTCTGTGTGATCCAAAGCTTTGTCGTAGCTATCCTGAGCGCGTGCATGACTTCCGCCGGTCTGCTTATTCGCGTTCTGCCTCAGCGACATCCCATACTCCTGTTGTCCATGTTGAGGTAAAATGCTAAAAACACACACACACACACACACACACACACACACACACACACACACACACACACACACACACACACACACACACACACACACACACACACACACACACACACACACACACACACACACACACACACACACACACACACACACACACACACACACACACACACACACACACACACACACACACACACACACACACACACACACACACACACACACACACACACACACACACACACACACACACACACACACACACACACACACACACACACACACACACACACACACACACACACACACACACACACACACACACACACACACACACACACACACACACACACACACACACACACACACACACACACACACACACACACACACACACACACACACACACACACACACACACACACACACACACACACACACACACACACACACACACACACACACACACACACACACACACACACACACACACACACACACACACACACACACACACACACACACACACACACACACACACATGACTAGGCTTACACTTCTTGGGACAGCCCTGTCTCTCAACATGCCAAGTTGCTATCTCCAAATGGCGAGCAGCCTGCGTTCGCTGGAACTCACCTGCGGATGTGCTCCCGTGCGTAAGCCACTCGACTCTTTTGAAATCAAAGGCCTCGGGCAGATGCCTTGAACACGCCCAAACTGATGGTGGCGAATTGTGAACGCCTCTAAAGCCGATGCTTCTTTCAGGCTCCATGTCAGGCTTCAGAAGAGTGATCTTGGGGATCTTGACTTCTAGAGGGAACAACGCATTTCATCCCCGCGCCTTCAGGATCCCACGCCTCATCTGGAGGGCCACGACCTCAGCGAGACACTCATACGGACTCAGGCAAACCCAGCAGAATACCTGCGACGCCTCGCCAAGCCAACACGTTTATTAAGATCCAAGACTTCTGATTGCACATTTCATCACTCACGGTTCCCCGTCAGGTCTATTCGAAACGCAGACACAACACAACCAGCGCAATGCCACACATGCATTTGTGCCCACTTGAAACGTTCACGGTGCAAGCCAACAATGCCTTAACAAGTTGGGTACTACGGGTTGCGCCCCAACATGGCAAACGCCTCACACTTCACAATTGCACCAGGGAAATAATTTGCACCAGGGTGAAAGCAACTCCCTGTCCGTCGGGAAGGGGCATGATACAACCAACTCACTGCTGAAAAACCGATGTTCTCCAGGAGAACAGGTCCGCTCGTCGAACACATCACAAATCTTTGACTCCATCCGAATCAGTCACTCCAGGCTTGGGCGCTCGGGCACACCACCAGGTGGTGGCCCCGCCAGGCGTGGACCTCACAGCGCCACCGGACCATCGCCTGCCCCGACACATGCAGCGGGTGCCGCCGCGGCCGTGAAGGCCTCGGACGGCGTCGCCCTCGTTGCTCTCCCGGCTTCCAACACCTCATCCCCTCCAGGCCCAACTTGTAACCAAAGGTGAGCGTAAAGCGCAGATCATGGAGGTATGAATATAATCAAGGATAATTAAGCATAACTCGAAACATGAAAGTACTTCTGAATGATTGTATTGAAGAAAATAGAAGCGACGCCTAGACGAGAAGCTGGAGGTGCTTAAAGGGCCGTCAAGGAATAGAGAGGCAAGCCGAAACGTTGCTAGGTGCTAGGGCTTGGATTTCCCGCTCGCTTACATCTTGAAAGCTCCTAAAACCCACCCTGTACCAACCCAAACCCAACTCACGCCCTGACACTGAATGAGACCTTATACGACCCGAAATCCGCGCGTGCTTCAAAACAAGGTGAACATCGAATTTTGTGCAGCTCTTCTCCATTTGTGGTGACTCGTGGCTTCCCCATTGGCGACTTTGGGTCTACTTTTGACTTCCCTTTTGACCCCAAAGGGTGGTTTCCTATCTTGGGAATCCATTCGGAAACTGGAAGCACTGGGATTTGCGCCTGTCTTCTTCGCCAGGCTCCAGGCCTGAGTTCCGGCCAAAACCCAAGAGCGCCGGGGGTCTCCCAAGAAAACTTATCTTTTCTCACCGAACCACTCACAGGTCAGACTTCCGGCCATGGGTTGGCCAGGTCACATGATCACGCAGCCCAATCCATGCAAATCAATTCCGGCTGAACCTGCTTGAATAAACCCATTGTTCTCTGTGTCACAACCAAAAGCGAACAGCCTAATCAAAATATTCAAAGCGCAGAATCAACTCTGTGGAGATGTTCTTTTCGCAACCTCAAGCTGACAGCTAAACTCTGCAACTGTCAGCTCTTAGGGCTGGAGGTTTGGGATTGAAATAACTCGGCACCATACCGGCTGTTGTTTCAAAACACAGCCTCGCTTGACTATACTCTACATACGGCAGAACTATGCTAGGCACGCTCTGGATATATTCTATGACTTTGCCTGAACAGTAAGAGGCCTGTGGCTGAGTTATATTCAAATTCCGCCAGAATCTCAGAAGTCTGCAATCAAATTCATGGGCTAGGAATACATAAACGTGTGATAGAAGACATAAGGAAGGTGTTGGCTAGAAAGACGGTCAACAAAAACTGCTTGGTTTTTTGATAGACACACGCGAGACGTACGCTGGACACTTACTAAAACAATGCTAGGCGCGTGGGACTATGCTAGCAACATCACGACATATTCGGTTGGATGTATGCTGAGATATAGCAGGCGCATGTATCGTCTGCAAAAATAGCGACAGGCTGAATACACGGGAAACACCCATCAAAGAAAATTGCCGATGCCATGGGAGGTTTGGAGCTGGGGGCCTGTCGAATAGACTAGGCGCCACGCTGCCAGCCACTGCTGCGGACACCTGCGGCTGGAGGGTTGGCTTTGTGTTTCCTATGCAAACAGACGTCAAACTAGCCCTAAACCCACAACTCAATCCTCAGCCTAAGCCGGTAGCCCCAATCAACCCTTGCCCAACACTGAACCCACCCAAAAGCAATCCCACGCTAACCAAGCCCACGCCAACCCTTCTACCTCACAGCCCTACAAACTAAAATGATCGTCAAACAACCCGAAACTGCACTCTATCTCCATCTGAGCTCCCCAAGTTCATCGCGCCTGACCAATCCTTATCTCTAAGCCCACCCAAGTGGCTCAATTTTGATTGCACCGAGGCGTGCTCTCGCACGGATGCAAGCAAAAGCACGAATCCAGCAGCAACTTGTGCCACCCTCTCACACGAAACAAGTCGAAGGCCTTGCTCAATGTTTCCTGGAAGAGCCATTTTCATTCGAGTTCGAAAGGCACTGGGCCAAAACCCCAAACCAAGCAAAGGTCCAATCTTAACCTCCTCTGGGCCTGTCCCTAAATCCACTCGTAACTTCGCAAACCACCAAACCAGCACCTGCGGACCAGGATGGACTTGAAGGTCTTTGAACTGAAGTGGCAAACCGAGCATTGGGGCCATGGTACCCATTAACTCAGCAAAAGATTGCCTACGGATTGTTGCAACACAACACCAATTGAATGTGTGTTTCTTGAAGGTACCAATTTGTGGGGCTCAACGGGAATCCAAGAATCCAAGAATCCAAGGGCACCCACTTTTGTAGGCAGGCTTCCCCTATTGTTCGCAAACAACATGTTCAAAAGTAGGATAGAGGACAAACGCCATTGAGCGGGCAGGGTAACAGCAGTCACCTCCACCATTGTAAGGATCCGCAATCTTCCATGACTCAACCATGCTAATTCAGTTGCTCTTGTTTTTGGAGTGAACCCATGAGGTCAATCTGCAGCGTCTCTTCTGAAGGGTTGTGTGTAGCATCAATCATCAGCCAAGAGACATGCACCTGCAAGCCAACCTTGAATGATCTGAAGCCCACAAAAGGCATTGGTGCAGGAACAAGTGAGGATCCCTTTCATGCCAACGCACACCTGGCCTCGTCCTGACCGAGCACGACCTGACTCCACCTGAGCTGCCCGCAATGCAAATAACCAGATGGAGTCTGTCGGCCACGCCCAGCCCGCTGAGGCCCACACTGTCGACATGCAGTCTGACCAGTTGTCCTGCCGAATCGCGAGCCGATCTTGGAAAACGGCTGGAAATCCGAGTCTCGCAATGGCAGGCTATGCATGGAAGGTTGGAAAACAACTCGGGCCGGCGTTAGAGAAGGATCAAACATTGACGGCTTGACGGCGTCACAGGAACGCTTGGGCCCGTCATTTCAGATTGTAGACTTGCGCACTCAAGCTGCCTTGACCTGAAAGCAGACACATTGAAACCGTCCATTGTGATCAATTGAATCGCGCTCTGCCGGCTTGACTATCGAGTTCTTTGAGCACGGCCGAGTTTGGCCCATACAGCCCATAAGTGGTGTATGCTTGCAATCACAAAAGAGCTTCGAGCAGTGCAGGCATTGACTGAACATGGCGCAACCAATAAAATCCAATTGCTAAGTTCTCAGGTGATGACTCCAGCATGTCAGTCGTAAGAAGGCAATCTTGATATGATCGAACACAGGTCCACACAGTCCTGTAGTACGCAAACTTCCCGACCAAAGCCTCGGCATCATCGCAAACACGCATAGATTCCCAGACACAATGACACACCGACGCGCCCACACATACACAGTCACACACACACAAACACACACACACACACACACACACACACACACACACACACACACACACACACACACACACACACACACACACACACACACACACACACACACACACACACACACACACACACACACACACACACACACACACACACACACACACACACACACACACACACACACACACACACACACACACACACACACACACACACACACACACACACACACACACACACACACACACACACACACACACACACACACACACACACACACACACACACACACACACACACACACACACACACACACACACACACACACACAACACACACAAACACACACAAACACACACACACACACACACACACACACACACACACACACACACACACACACACACACACACACACACACACACACACACACACACACACACACACACACACACACACACACACACACACACACACACACACACACACACACACACACACACACACACACACACACACACACACACACACACACACACACACACACACACACACACACACACACATGAGAGAGAAAAACACGCACCAACGCACCCACGCACCCACGCACCCACACACCCACGCACACACACACACACACACGCACACACCCGCCTACCCGCACGCATGAACGCAAACACAAACACAAGCACAAACACACACACACACACAAAAAGAGAGAAACACACGCACCAACGCACCCACGCACCCACGCACCCACGCACCCACACACCCACGCACACACACACAGAGACAGACAGACAGACAGACACACCAACACATGCTCACACACAGAGAGACACACTCCCCCACCCACGCCCGCACGCACATCAAGTTGGCATTCTTTTAGCTTGGGCCCACCATATTAAGATTTTATCATTTTACATATGGCAACTACAACATTGCAAAGGCGGCATGACAGCTTCAAACTCTGAGGACGCTGTCAGCCTGGCCGTCGTTTTGCCGGATGATCAAACTTCTGATGGCCAGGTCCTAATTGCTTTTTGCCATCCTTCATTCACATCAATCTGCTCTTCAACGGTGTATGTAGCCAGAAACATAAGCAGGAAAGCCTTTCGGTTGTCTGACAACTTCAAAGGTGACCGACCATGTCTGGTCAACCTGTTTGGAAAACAACATCTTGGCTGCGCCTGAGGCATGTTATTCCAATTTGGAAAGCCAACCCCGGCAACTCCCAGAGCCATGATTTTTGACCGCCGCTAGCCGCGAAAGGGCTTCAGCAACGGGCCCAGGAACTCATCCTGCGAGGCTCAAGCTGGGAGTCAGTGTGAAAGCAGGGTTCACATGATGCTTCCAATACAGGAACCGCTTTTGGGAACCATCTTAGGTCCCGGATCCAAGCAAGGGCACCAACCTCCAAAAAGGGAGAGAGGTTCCATGAGGCCATGGTACGGAAGAATGGACTGCCTGTCCCAAAGTGGCATTCTCCCGAAAAAGCTTGGGGATATGCTTTATGAGTCACGCATATCTGAAATATCGTTATGGTTACTGCCTCATAGAATGTCTGTATTTGGTTGTAGCTGAGTTGTGGATGCTATCTTCTTTTTTGAGGGTCACAATTTGGGCGATGGTTTGGATCGACTGGTTATGATATTGAAACCCACACTTCCGATGATAAAATTATATTACACATACGCATGTTGCATAGAATATTGGTTGTCCCCTTTCGTGAAACGATTTGATGCCAAAGACTGTTTGATGTCCAAAGTGGACAACCATGACATAACAGTGGCTCCACAAGCGCATCCTGCATCTATGGTAGGAATGTGTTCATGAAGAATGATCACCGACTTCTATTCCAGCCAGCTTACTGCTCGCCCAAGGTCATGCGGTTCATCAAACAAAAAGGCTCCAGTAGTTCAATGGTCCTGATAGAAACTAGCATAGTGCTCTATCAACATCTGTGATACAGTACGGCTTTCGGCAAATAAAATACTTGTTGAACTGCGAAGAACTCGAGTCTGATTTTGTTGCTGTTCTCTTGCTGGCTGTGGCATAATAACGATGGTAGTGTAAACAGCTCTTGAGATATCATTTATCCGAAGTCTGCCAAACAATTGAATATTTTGGAATCAATACTGCATTAATACTTCCTGTTTATGACTCAAGTGGAACTAGCCATGATTTTGAGAAAGGCTATCACTTCAAAGCGCATTCCCACAGAACATGGCCCCAAACCACCCCAACCCCTAGCAAAACAGTGTTTCCCATATCCACGCATGAGGCTTGTGATTTTGGGTTCAACACAAGAGGCCCCTCGCTTCAACATGGGGTTCCGACCAGGCAAACAATTTGTTTCGGGTCGGAATTTGTTCAAAACGACTCTGGAGTTCCGCCTAATCGCGCAGCTTCCTTCGCTCAAGACTCCGATGCGACTCGAGCATGCAGATACAGTGTGTGTGTGTGTATAATATATATATATATATATCACGTTCGTGTCAGCAACTCTCGTCATTGCCTTCTGGTATAATCACTTCGCATCTGGAAATCGTGAGCAGTCAACTGTGCTTTGAACACTGCGAGGCAAGCATCAAGCATCATCATACACTCGGGAATGAGCCGAAAGTATGGCCCCAGACGTTCGAAAACAAACCAACGGGTTCCACTCATGCGAAGAGGGAGTCCTCCATGGACTTTTTGAAGCACTCGGGGCTCTTCCTTCTGTTTCCGGTCGCTCCTCCAGCAATACCCAGCCGCTTTCTCGGCCGCCGTTCTGCTCCACCACCACGCGCCCGAAGGATCTAAGGCGGAGCCAGGCCCAAGGACAGGTATCTTGGAAGGGACTCCTCGAGTAGAGACTTGTTTGTGATTTTCGTATTGTCGGAATGTGATAATCCAGTTTGTTCCCACACGTGGTACCGTGTGCTGGAAGGCATTGGGAACATGTACCAAGTCAACGCAAACAAGAGCAAAAACAAAAATGGGACTGGCCTTCTCACAGGAACCAATGGCGGAACTGCACCACCCAATCTGACGTGCCAACTATCCGGCTCTTCAAATTGATGCTGCCACTTGTCTGATTTTCGCTTCTGAGCACAAATGCCCATGTCAACAGCCCCCTGTTGCTGGTTGCTTGTGCTTTGCTTGTGAGCCCCACATTCTGAGTTCTCACATTGAATTAGGGGAATGCCTCGATCCCTAGTCGTGCGAATGGAACAAACGATGGCACTGTGATCTCTTCTTGAGCTCCGGTGAGCACGCTACAATTTGCTCAGAGTATGATCAGGGGTTCCGTTGTTCGGGCCACAACCTTCCTTTCTTAGTGTAGGGGTGAAGTCGCTGGGTCCCTTAGAGTGGCATCCTCAACATCAGCCTCGTAATGGCGGCTTCAGGGAATCCGGGACCGCAAAGTAACGTTCACAACCCGTGAACATGCTGGCAAGGCAAGCCATGCCCCAAAGCCATTGTTTTAGTACGGGCTCACTTTCAGAGTTCCCTACATTTCCACATCAAGGGAAACTCACCTTAAATGGGGCCAACAAATATCTCGTGCTTAAGACACCAACTTGTGAAACAGGATCCCAGGAAAAAGTGCATGAGGACCCCGAAGGAATCCATGAATCCGCCTGGGTAGGTCGTAGTCCAAGATCTCCAGCAGCTGATGCTGCCGCAGAAGCCCAAGCAGCTCCGCACTGGTGGAGGGCTTTTCGTAGACCCAGGCCTCAACCAAAGCATGCCACTCACATGACTCATATTGCAGGTCCTGTACTTGGGGCTCTGTAGAGTTTGTCTCAGATTTGAAAAACAGTTGTAGAGTTTTTGCAGAGTTTGCGGCAGACTTACTTGAAGACTTGGTCTTTATTCAACTCTAAACCTAGGAATTCAATATGTTCTATCATTGACGCAAAGGGACATCTACCAGATTCCAGGAACAAACACAGACATTGAGCTTACGGTTATCCCTTCCAGCCAATGCTTCAGAAAGAGAAGTTGCTTTAGAAAAGAAGTTCTGCTCCACCACTCACGGCTGCATTGTACTCAGCCTCACAACTTGACAAAGGCATGTCTTCTGAGATCGTACAGCACTTCTAAGCATGCCATTCAACTATATTTGCATGGCCGAGGCAGCCAAGGCGCTGAGCTCCGTTAAGACCGTCCTTTACCATCCCATCCCTGCCATTGGAAAACGGGTCTGGAAAGGCCGTTGCCCGGGCCTGGAGGAACACATTCCAACACACCCTCGTTTTCGCACAGTTGCCCGGGCTCTCGGGGTACACAAATCTGCGGTCATTCCTGCCATTCAGCCAGGGGTCACAGGGGAAGAGCCACAAAAGACCCCTGGGATGTTTATGTTTCAAGAAATCCTCTTCAGCTCAACCAAATGCCACGCCCACTAAAACTTGGGCATCTCTGGTTTGACATGTGGACGCCACACATGTGCCTTCTCTGCCGCCACCCGGTACACCGCACCCTGCCGGCGCGCCTAGGCCGGACGTTGGCAAAGACATGACAACGAATCGGAGGGATGGCAGATGGGTGCCCCCAATGGCGGGTGTCCTTTTGGTTTCCCTTTGAACACCTTTGAACCAACCCAAAATGGTACCCTCAACACTAGGCTTTGGCACAATGCATCGTCTCAGCCTTTGTTGCCTGACTAGATGTAGGCAAACACCACCAGTCGGATAGAAGTGAAGATTTCTCTTTTGCGACATTGGCCCAGCACAAGGCCTTCTAGCCCATTTCAAGTCTGCAGGTAGGTGACAAGAACTCGTCCTCTCTTGTCGAAGCATTGCATGTTGAAGTGTTCATCACATGGCTGTCTGCCATGAGTTGTTCCTTTGCTTTTCACTCAAATAAAGTGAGCAACTAACCGTTCGTTCGGTGGTCGATACTCATTTTGGAGAGGACATGGACAGTCAGCTGGGACGAATCAGCCGATATGCGTCCGCCTTTGATCTGTCCAAGCCAGTTCTTCTTGGAGTGGTGCTCAAGACAAGTAATTATGGTTCAACATAGTGCTTCAAGACTACAGGCATGTAAAAGCACAGTCGGACCCCTCACTGCGGGGTTGATAGGCAAGGTCGTCATTGCAGTATGCATGTATACGTACATATATATATATATATGGTACCCCCCCCAAACCCACGTCAAGAGAATTTGACAGTATTTGTAGTACTTTCAGGCGACTTCCACCCCTGTTGTAGGCACTTCAATTTGCCCGCATCTGCTGACATTTGACTGTGACTGTATCCACCTAAAGCGCTTCAAAGCGCTTTGAAGTACTGTTGGATCTAAGATTCAAGATTGAAGAAACCCAGGACTCTACATCCTGAATCTTGAATCCAGTGTGGGACCCCCCAAAATACTTTAAAGCGCTGTAAAGCACTTTTGGATCTACGATTCAAGATTCCCAAGACTCTAGTTCTTGAATCTTGAATCCATGATAAAAGAGGTTTAAAGCGCTATAAAGCGTTTTGGGGGGTCCCATACTGGATTCAAGATTCAAGATCTAGAGTCCTGGGTTTCTTGAATCTTTAGATCCAAAGTGCCTTAAAGTGGCTGCTTTCAGTCATTCCTGTTTGGGTGTTCACCTTATTATCCTTTTCGACTTGTGCGCGGTAAATGCAGTTGATAGTTCAGCATATGGACATTGGACATGTTCTTAAATGACTTAAAGCAACTCCACACCAACCCTTGGATATTAAAACAACACTGCACATACCAGAGTGTTGCACGCTTTTTAGCAGGTTTTGTGCAGAACATACTTTGTCGAGGGAAACTTGTTCTTTTGGCAAACAGCGTGGCATTGGGGAGGGCATGTGAGGTGTGAGCAGATGTTTTGGTATTGGCCAAGGTTTGTGAGCTGACAAATGAAAGGGGATTTGCAGATGAGTTGGGATGAGAGATGGAGGTAGCAGATCTTTTGGTATTGCCACAGGCTTGTAAGTTGACAAACGACGAGGATTTGCACATCCGTTGAGATGAGAAATTGAACACGTGTAGGCGAAGCAGAAGAGGTATGGCTGGCCTTCGTTTGTTTGATACACTTGCGCCGGGACCCTCACAGAGGCATGTTTTACAGTCAGTTGAGCGAGGATAACATTAGCGATGAAGACTACGCATACCAAAACACAGCTGTACACATCGAGAGAACATCACGATTTCCATTTGACAGCAGATGTGGTTTTCTTGGCAGACATTTTGAAAACTTCGGAGATGTATGTATCACATAATGGTCTAGACCCTGGTATTCTGACACGCTACCTAACTTTGCTTTTACACTGTACCACAATTTGCTGTTCATGCTAATTGTCCAATTAACTTATGTTGAATTTGATTGAGTTTGTGACCAACATATGAATATGTATGAAATGATTGGAACAAAAAAGATCAAGAGGAGGAATACCACAAACAGTTTGTTCAGAACGTAGAAGAGCAAATGCGGCAAAGTCTTAATGAATCGTGTGCAAAAGTCTGCCAAACCGTGAAATGAGCCCACTGTTGGCAATATCTGTCTAACATGACTTAACCCCCCTTACATAAGCAGCAGGCGCTTTTTCTTTTTGGGGGGGTCTGCCTCTATGATTTATATATGATATAATGTATATATCTGTATATTGATACGCTCCCACCTCATCCTTTCATAGGGGGTTGATTTAAAGGGGGAAACTAACGGGAAATCACCCTTTGGAGGGGCCCCCAAAAACGACAACTAAATGCGCTTCGCTTTCCCTTTGCTTTTCCTGCAAAGCCCTAAACCGGCCGCCCATCGAAACAACAAAAACAACATTTTGCCAGGGGATTCAGGTGGTGTGTGAGTTTGGTGACCCGGCAAGATTTGGCACAAATCTGTTCAGCTTTGCCCTGTGATGTCGTGTTCTCATCACGGGAGGGAGGCAAGATTGGCAAGAATGGCGAGAATGCTACTTTTCACCACAAGACTGAGGTGTTGCAGTCTGTTCGCGGTATGTGTTGTCAGCACAGGCAGCTTGGCAGCTTTCTCGGGTTCATCTTATTTGGAAAATATGGAAACATGACGCCAGAGACCCGAGAGGGTTGCTAGGGCGTGGTGACCCAGGAATTCCAAGTGCGCCCTTCAGCCAACCTACACCAAGGCTACACTAGCATACAACATCCCCTAATGCAACCAATGCGAACCACCCACACCACAGGGCAGCATTGAGAGCAGACGTCGGTCAAACCCACCGCCCTGGCACTCGATCCAAGGCGCCGCCAGTGGCGTGGCCAGCCACGACTCCTCGTTCTCACACACTGCCGAAGCGCCCGGCGGCGGAGACGCCGGCCCCGGTTTCGGCGGCGCCGGTGTCGGCGGCGAAAGCGGCTCCCGCTCTGGCTGGTGCACCTGGCAACGTTTCTGTCATGACTAGAAATGGTTTTAAAGTACATGGCCTATTCAAACTGTGTAAGCCCCAAAAATTGTCCTGTGGGCTCGCGAACCCCTAAAATGAGTTGGGGTTCGAGGCAAAATCAAACCAACGCGTCGAGCAATGACCACTTGAGTAAGTTCCACGCAGGCGCTTTTCCCTTTGTCTTTCCCAGCTACACGGGTGTGCCAGCCCTTTCCACAGATCTGGGCTGGGGGTGCCCTATTGTAAGTCATGTGGACCTCAGGAAAATCCGGGGGATACTAATCGGAGGTGGTTCCCTGCTTAGTAAGGAAACATATGAAGACACCGCCATAGAACCATGCGACCTCATGGAAAGAGCAGGGCCTCCAGCAAGCGATGCACGCGCTGCGGCAGGTTTTGACCTCGCATGCAGCAAGAGGACACTAGTGGTCCGCAGCTGGCCGATTTATGAATAAGGAGCTGTTGGCCTACGCCGTATTGAGCTTAAACCTGGAATCCCGAAGCCTGTTAGGAGACAGCTTGTTTAGGTTAATGTAAATTTGAGGGGGACTCACTGTGTATCTGTGTTTTTTGTTATCATTGTGGGGGTTGTTTCCTAAAATAGAACTAGCTTATGTTTGTGGGGAGTGGTTTGCCTTGGTGATTTCGCCTCCACGGCGAAATGCCTTTCCCTGAAACCATCAAGCGAGCCCTGGTCTGCAAGGATCCACAGGTTCAGGCAGGGGAATTGTCCAGCGCATTGTACATTCAGGTGAGAGGAACCCGCTTTTGGGGATGCTTCGTGACGATTTGCGTTAGAGGGCTTGATGAGGCCCTCTGGCCACAGTTTGCTTCTGGCTACCCACTTGTCTTGGTGGCCTTGCTTGCTATGGTTGGCTGGATTCAGTTCTTACAAGTAAATGGCCCTGGGGAGGTGAGGCTGCCAGGGACGTCCCAGAACACGACAGACAATTCTCTATTTGGCAAGTTCTCCCAAGTGACAAGAGACAAATTCTACGTAGATGAGCATAAATTCTGAAGGAAGCTTTGTCACCGGCAAAAGTATTGATGTTCCAGTCATAGGAAATGATCCCACGATGTTGGCTCCAATGGGGCATGGTCTTGACATGTTTCAACTCTTTCAACATCGTTATTGCTCCCAAGCCAGTGTTTCAACCAAAAGACCCATCTCTCTGCGCATGGTCGTTTTCTCGGGAGGTTGCGAAACAACTAGGGGCACCATGTATCTTCATGTCAGCTTAAAGCACATTGTGCTTTAAGCTGCATCTGAAACTTCTTGGTGCTCTTGCATGCACATAAGGCAAGAGAGCATGGCCACAGTCTACAACCAAGTATTGTCAAAGCAATCACCACTCACTGCTATCGTTCACAAATTTGAACTCGGCGGATATCAAGTGAAGGAAGTGCATGGGCGAGCTCGATTCAGCCCAGGTGAGCAAAGTGCAGAAGCAAAGGCCCAGTTTGCAGATTTCAAAGCTCCAAGCCCAAAGAACACGCTTCTGCTTTCGTCCAATTGAGCCCTGACGGAACTTGATTTCAACCACGGTTTGCCTCCAACAAAACGCCTTTGTTCGACCTGACAACCCGGGTCGAGTCACACGGGAAATTCCCGGCCGAAGACCCGCTGAAACTCACGCCTCTGATTCGTTGTGGGAATTGCAACCACTTCTGACCGATGGAAAGCCTCAATCACTTGAGGGAGGTTCCCTGGTAACACAGTAGCAGCTCTGATGTGAGCGCCCAAAACCTATGGGCTCTTGGCTCTGTGATGCCTAAGGTTGGTTTGGGCCTTGTGTCCCTGTCAGACCAGGTAGGAACCGAAACATACTGTGCATGAGCAGAATCATGCACCAGTTGGGAAGGCTGAAACCTGCAAATACTGTGATAAACCACCTACCTCTGCAGGATCTTGTTCATCCACGGCACCGAACCCCTTCTGGCAACGGCCCTTGGGGTTTGGGGCGCCCAACGTGACGCTTGCGCAACGAGCGGCAGGGCGCGTCCATGCCGCGAACCTCCTCGAAGATCTCGTGGAAGGAGACGTCCGCGTCCCGCTCGAGTGCCGCCAGGAGCTGCGCCCCCGCGGTGCCTGACAGATCCAGCTTGGAGTCTTCAAGTTTTGTTCTCTTGCTTTTTTCTTTGAGGGGGGGGGGGTTGGGAGATGCTTGTTCTGTCTTTGCTTTTCCTTTGGGGGGAGGGGTGGGGGGGGATGTTTTTCTTTTGTGGGGATTAGAATTGGGGTGTTTTGGGGTGTTTTGGATTTTGTGGGGGATGTTTTTCTTTTTGGGGTGAGCTCTGTATGCCAGGTGAGCTCGAAACAAAATAGGATAGGCAAATCCATTGCAAAACCAATTCGAAAGCTCAAGGAAATGTGGCCTAAGAGATGCTTGAAAGCAAAATTACGTCCTAAGATAATAATGTGCTTGATTGATTAGTTCCTGTTGCCTCCACATTAAACAACCAAGGGAGCCACCCTTTGGGTTACCTACGGTAGTTGAGATTTGCTCTGACCCAAGATTTCGAGTGAATCCCCTGTGGTTAGCCATTGATCACGGCTTCTCGGAAACGGTCCTTCCCAGTGGGAACCTTCAAGCTGTGTTTCAACCTCAGAAACCCCCCGAACGTAGGCATGCGACCCGCTCCCAACTTGTTTTGCTAGGGACAGAGTTTGGGAGAGTGTCGTTGGGCTAACCCCCCCCAAACAACCAACGAAGTGAAGCTCTGGGTGTCTTAGGATGGGATAGACGAGTCTATCCAATCCCTGGCCGTTTCACTCTGGACTTCAGGGGAAACTGGCGCAACCCTGTGGGCTTCCAAAGGATTGCGGTTTGCAGTCGTTTGATCAAGTTTCAGGGCTGTTGCGTGAAGGCGATCCTGAATTCCATTGGTTTGGCACAGTGCTTTTCACGTAAGTTGTCCTCTGCTTGTCATGCGGAAAAAAACAAATGTTTGAGCTGGCTCGCAACAGAAACTGGCTGACATCTCATGTTCAGGTTCAAACGTTTGAACCTAATGCTGCGGAGAGTGGCAATGCGGGAACCCACCAAGCTCATCTTGGTCAACAGCATCCCGTGCTCCTCACTCAAATCTAACTCCCTGTAGAGGTACATGGAAGCTAACCCAATGCATTCTTTAACTTTAAGCCCCCTGTTTGGGGTTCGTTGTGAGCAGCGAAGAAACCCATTGACTGTTGGTTCTGCTAATATGGCTACAACAACTTAAATAAGATGCACTATAACCTTTTGAAACCAGTCAGGCAGTAGAACTCACCTACTAAAATGGCCCTGCAGTTGTTTTTTGCGCGATGCTCATGTTCATTTGCAGGGGGGCAGGCAACAAAACACAGCAGAACGCCGCCTCCAAGCCGCTGCGTTGTTTCCGCGTCCTTGAGGCGCTGTATCTCCTCCTGGCAGAAGTTTTGTGTCTTTGTGTGTCAGAGAAACTTCGGGCTCGTCCCCCACCCAAACTCCAAATGGACCTGATTCCAAAACATGTCCAAGCATGAAATAGCAACTGTTTCCAAGACAAGGACCCACATCACAGCTGAAATCCCCTGTTTTACCCTCGCCTTTTTGGGTGGAATGGTGGAATCGCGTGTTTTTTCCCACCAAATCGCTGGTTTGCTCGGCGGAATCGCCCGGCTCCTTGAGGTGGGCTGCCTGCTGAAAATCCTCCGCCTCCACCGCCGCTCTCTTCCGGCGCTCCAGGTCCGCCAGTTTCTCCGGGTCACCCGTTGAGCCTCGAAGCGATGCGCCACAGGGCTCAAGATGGGTTGGAACCCAGTACCCCAGCAAACATGGCTTGGTGCACGGGCCCCTTTTTGGAAGACTACTTTCATTCTTTTGGTGGGAGATTACATATTTCACTTTGCCCCAACGGCGAATTCGCCCTACGTCTAGTTCTGACACACAGGCAGTTGGCTCACCGTCAACCCTTCATCCACGCTCCCGTTGAAAACCCGCTCACTCCTCCGCCCATCTTAGTGACCCACGTCCCATGGGTGAACCAGGATTGTCATAGGCGAAACTTCATTGCCTCTTTCATGCCCGTTGCGGCAAAATAGTTTATCTGATTCAAGTGCCTTTGGTGCTTTGATGAGTGAATGAGTCCCGATAAATCATAGCGCCGCTGTAAAAGTTCAAGTGACACTTGACTCGACTCTGACTGGAAAGCTGTTCGCAGAAAGGTGAACTAGAATATCTCAGGATTGCTTGCTCAATGTGCTGTTTTGGAATTTGGGCATTGCCGCTCAGCAGAGTGCTTTGCACCAGCCCGGTGCCACACATGGTGTCCGACCTCCACTTAGTTGCTGATGGTCATGCAGCAAGTCACTTTGATCGGGCCGAAACATCTTGCGCCAAATCCCCCTAATGGCGTTCAAACACGCGCAGCTTTCCCCTTCAGAAATCCTGGAAGCCCAAAACGGCCAAAGCGGATGGCCTCCAAAGTTCCACACCTCCCTCTCTTGTGCGGCACCAGCGACGCTTCGGGTCGGCGCCGGCTTCCAGCAGCAGCACGCAGCACACCAAGCCCTGCCAGCCCTCCCGCTGCGCCGCCAGCATCAGCGGCGACACGTCCCCCGAGTTCACGTCCAGGCCCTCGGAAATGAAGCCTCGGAGAGTCGAGAGAAAGGCGCTGAGCACTCGCTCGGAACGCGCTGGTTGTTCGAACCCTTCTCAAGCTGGTTGAAATGCAAGGTGAAGGGAAGCAAGAGCAACACCAATGTGACCATCCTTGCTTCTTGCACGTGAAGACGAGGCAGTGCTACATGTGCCTTTATCTAAGCTCTTGCAATTTCAATATTTGTAAGTTTCATCTGCGATGTCTGCGTCATCTGTCCCTAGTATGTGGTCAAGCTTTGTATGTTGCCTCCGTATTCTGTCCGAGAACTTGTTGCGTCTGTAGGTTGGTGTGCCGCGTTTTGCTCAGCCACTTTTTTTTTGCTCAGACCTTGGCATCTTGCAACTCACAGTTCTTCTCCCAGCACTTATACAAATGTGTTAATATACAAATGTGTTAAGTCTTCCTCCTGCATGCGCTTTTCAGTTTGTTGTTGCCGCATGTGTTCTGTCTCGGACATGGGATGTCTGATCTTTCTGCGCCTGCCAAACAAGTTCTTGCACGTCTAGATTTATGATGGCAGAAAGTGTGTGTGTGTGTGTGTCCAACAAAAGAACCGGGGAAACCTTCAAGCACGTTGAGCACTAATAATGTTGTTCTCGCCTGGGCGGGGGGGGCGGGGGTTGGTTTGTGAGTTTTTGAAAATCGTGACTGTCTTGCAGGGAGCCCGACGACCACTTGTTTCTTTGGGACACACTCGAGCCTGTCCTCAGATGAGTTTGTTTCCCATAGCCGCCCCAAGGGGAAAAGAGAACAAGTTGCTCCGTCAGTTGCATACCCAAAACGAGTCCAGGGCCGAGGCGCGGTGCAGGTCCTGCACGCAGCCTTCTCGCGCAGCTTGGCACAGGGGATCCACATGCCCGTGGGCCAAACCTTTGGGCCTTGCTCGAGCGGAAGCTGTGAGCCGGCCGCTTTGGCTTGCAGGTCTCCATGTTTCTGGCAGAATATTTACAGTTACGTGGTTGACTCGCCAAATGATGAGCAAGTGAGCTGGTTTGGTCATTTGCAGTTCAAGACTAAGTTCGTGAGCATGTTTATTTCGGAGAGTTCGCTGGCTAGCAGTCAAATAGTTTGCCAGGTGGTTGGTTAGCTAGCTCGCAACCTAGTCCGCTAAGTAGATAGTAAGCTACTTCGACAAATATATAGACAGGCTGCTCTTTCTACCGTGTTGATGGCTAGGCAATGCTAGTTTGCGGACGCAAGCGCGCAAAAACACCGAGTCTTGGAGGATCGATCCCAGGAAAGTTCGCAGAGGGCTCAACGCTTGAAACGGCGCAAACTGAAATCGCAAAATACAAATTGTCCGCCGCGAGCACACCTCCTTCTTGATGGTTCACCACACACAAGACCGCGACGGGCTCACGGTTTGCACAAATGCGGGAGAGCCGAATTCGTGCACAGGGCCACATGTTCTACCCGCTTCTATTCCCCAACTTCTTAACTTGTTCACGTGTTTCACGCACAGTGCAAATATTGCCAAAGAAATTATTGATATGATTACCAGTCGAAACCCAAGAGAATTAAACGCCTGGTTGATTCACACGCAATGTACGAGGAAATCCTTCTAGTTTGGGGGAAACACCCTCCTCATGATGGTCGATTCCCACCCCAGTCGGGCCAAAGGTTGGGCTAACTTCCTCTTTAAACATGCTTTGACACCTGTTGTTTGAACAACCTCCTCTTGGCTTCCCAGTTTTAGGGGCCCATGGTCTGGTGGTTTGAGCGTATTGCGCGCACAACCCTACCCCTGCCCCCCCGCCCTCGGCCTCAGCTGCGGTCCATTTGCGCTATCCAGGGCCACCCACGCGGGGCCCAGCAGCGTCATCAGGCGCCGCATCTCGCGTAGTTTGTCCCAGTCAAAGAGCTCCAACACTTGTCCGCGCCTGTGGGGCTTTCTGTGGGCGAAGTGCGCTCCTCCAACCGAACTTGACGTTGAATCTGTGAGACTGAAGCACAGGAAACAAGAGTGGTCTTGTCCTGGTGCTATAGGCCTCATCTATACTCCCTGCCAAACCCAGAAATGCTTTGGAAGTCCAGCATGCGTAGTGCATAAGTCGGCATAAGCCAAACAGCCAAACAGCAATCCAAAGTGACAATGGTGACATGGGGATGTATTACAAGAGGTTGTCTGCACTTCCCCTTAACACATGACCCTTACTATCAAAACCTTGCTGTACCCAACAGGTGATCTTTAACACCACAAAATCAAAATAATAATAACAATAGTAATGAATAATAATAATAATAATAATAATAATAATAATAATAATAATAATAATAATAATAATAATAATAATAATAATAATAATAATACTAATAATAATAATATATAAATAAACATAATTAAATAATAATAATGATAATAATAATAAATAAGTATAGGGACCACTGTAGAAGCGGACGCCTAGGGGAACCCAATTGAGAGTCTCGCGGCCCTTGCCTCCTGGTGCCCTGCATGGGGGCTTTGGGGTGCGGGGCCGTGCGGATGATCAGGCGATCACACACCTGAGCAGTCCCAAGCCGTGGGCCAAGGCCTTGGGCCTTGGCCAGGCTTTTCAAACACCCCAAAAGATAGATTTTGTTAAAAATGAAAATGAAAACAAAACAATGATGCTTACAGACGTAAACAGGGGACATACAGAAAGCCCCTGGCTTAAGCTAGAACATTTAGGGGCAGGGCCGCAGGCCTGAAAGACCCTTTTCCCGGTCCTTTTGGCAGGCTAATGCCTTCGGGCGCAAGTGATGACCGATGCCAGCGTCCCAAGATTTGCAAAGCTACGTGCTTCCGATTGCCACCTTAGGCAAGGATTCTTTCTGGCTCCAGTTTTTGCGGCTCTTTCTTTTTATCCTCGCTAAAGGCTAAAGCACCTGCTATTGTCGTAGACTTTTCTCATCAGATCTGTCCGGGCTGCTATGACAGTGTCTTCAACCTCCGGGCAGCCTCACGACAGCGCCCAAACAGACCGTCTGGCCCTTCCTTTTGGAGGCCGTGTTGGACCAATTACAAATATGTCTTGTTCAAAAAACATGTCGAACATTCGGGGTGTTCTCGAACATTCTTTTGCGGGAGGTTTTCCTTTATAACCATTAGAGGCGAACATTGTCGCGACTTTGGCGAGCCTTTCTGCTTCAGCCGACGCTTTTCTCCGGAAGCCAAGGCGCCACCTCGTAGAGCGTGCCGCTCCCACGGGTCAGGGGCCGAACCTCTGGCGGGCTCTCGAAGTTCGGCTCCGGCAACGGCTGCGGCCGCTCCGCTTTCTGGCTCTCGGCCGCGGAAAGCTGCAGCTCCCGGCGTTCCAAGTGCTTCTCCACCGGTGAGTCGTCGCGGTCCTGCTCTTTTTGGCCCTTTTTGGCCCGCTTTCGCGAACCGATGACTGACTGACTGACTGACTGACTGACTGACTGACTGACTGACTGACTGACTGACTGACTGACTGACTGACTGACTGACTGACTGACTGACTGACAGATTGACTGACTGACCGGCTGGCTGGCTGGCTGGCTGACGACTGACCAACAGCGGGAGTGATTAGCAAACTAAGTAGCTAGCACATGCACCAATCTATACAACTCCCACTTCCTTTGGTGGCAAACTGCCAAAATTGGGTGGAACTTGGGATTTCAAACGTGTTGGGGGAGCATCCACGTAAGAGGGAAGGTTGGGAACAGCTGTAATCAACCCGATTCTGTGTTCTATGCTCTGAACCAACATGAATATGCAGGCCCAAGACCTCATCTGTGGGGCTGAACAAAAAGTGCAGTGAAACATGGAGCAACAACGGGGGCAACACCAGCCCAAGCAGATCGATGCCTTTGTGAGCAAACGCTGCGAGTCCGACGCCAAGAAACACCTCGAGTCCTGTGACCACCACGCTTGCAGCAGAACTCGCTTGCCGTTCACCTGCGAGGACTATGGCGAAATGTCATGCAACATCTGTACAACATACGGGTCTGTGTCAAGCAAAGCAGAAGGTTTGCTGGCGCCTCAGGAGAACCCAACGGACATCAACCGCCAGGGAGACAAAAACCTACGCTGAGCTTGCGCCACTTGATGTGCCACGACATCTCTGGAGCCGGGATCGTTCTCACCACCTCTTGCGAAGGGCTCCCCAACTTTTGGGGGTTGAGAAATTGGGCATGCCGCATGCCTGAGAGCAATTGGTGCCGTTTCGGGACCCCGACCAAGGGTGCCAGGGTGCCTCCATCGGCAGGTAGAGGTCCCCCACTTGCAGCCATTGACCACAGACCATGCCTCGCACGACCGACTTGAACTCTGCAATCTTCCGGTCCTGCGAGGAAACAAATCAAACCATCTGCTTCCCCAGCAGATTAACGCGGAATTCAAAATAAGCCCTGATAAAGCAAGGCCACGACCTGCGATGTTCAACAGCCAAAGCAAACTGGCAACATGTCCAATCTGTGCAACACCTCCGTCAAGCAAATACGCTTGTGCCGCTCTTTCACGAACTGGCGTGGTCCCAAACCCTGAGACCCCAACCTGCGCATATCTGACCGGATCTCAACCTGGCGTGGCCCACAAACACTCCGACCAGAACCTGCGCGCATCGCGTTGACCGGAAGTGACCGTGTCAGACTCAGTGTATCTCAGACCTGAAGCTGCTCCATGCAGTTTTCAAACAGTCTAGCAAGCCCATCTGACGGCGCTTGGACGGACCTGGAAAATGTCCCATTGTCCCGCTCTTGTGAAGTCATTATTTTCCCTTTACGGCTGTCTTCAACATCCAATGATGCTTCAATAAGTTTCATTTGGTGGGATGATGACAGGAACAACAAGTAGGACACTCCACCAAGTGCTTGTTGGATGTGTGGCCTTTTTGGTGGCGGCAAATAAGGACCCCAGAAGGGGACAAATAAGGAGCCCCATTTTGCCATGAACATCCTTTTGGTGCGGAGATGTTTTGGGATAAGGAACGCCTGTCCTTGTCCACCAGGCTCATGCTCTTCCGGTAGAAAATGCCCCGGGCATCGGACCGTAGCTCCGAGTTGTCCACCATGAAGGTTTCCTGAGTCAGCTTGCGAGTCGAGCCACGCAAGGCCAACGTGTAGGCCAGAGCTTTGACTTGGAGTCAGCCCGACGAGTCACTCGGCAGGAAAAGGGAAGCACCACATGGCCCTAGTCCCTGGTGCCTTGAACTTCTCTTCAGCACCCCTCTACAGGAACGGAATCTCCTTCTAAGCAACCCCTTGTTGAGGTTCCATGCTAATTGTCTGGGGAGCAACTGTAATATCATGTTCGAGATGCTCGCTCTTTAAAACCAAACAAGTAAGCTAAAGCTGTAGCAAGATCCACGAGAGCTAAGATATCGTCTTCCAACGCTGAGAGCTGCATTGCCGTCTGAATGGAAGGGGGGAAACACCACTGCAAGGGAAACCACCAGCCATCTGGGAAAAGGAGTGTGGGTTGATTTTGGGCGCATTGTGAAGATCGACATGTCGCACGTGGGCTGACCTCGATTTTGCTTCCAACCCATACCACTAACTGGGAAGCTGTGGGCTGGCCCGCGGGATAAATAAATCCATGACACACGAATTCCCTCTCCCACCTGGCCTGGTCAAAATGGCGGGGTGGCTTGCCCTTGCCATCCTTCGCCCAGGCATTGAAGCCACCCATGGCACGCACAAGCCCTGTGCTGTGGAAGCTCTCGATGAACAAACACAGGAGCCGCGGTAGTGGACAAGGAACCACTCACTTCGACTTTTGTGCCACTGAGTATCAGATATTCATTTGCTCTGATGGTGTTGTTGCATGAGTCGAGGGAAGCCCGGCAGGTTTCATGTTCCGGAGACAGCTTGTACCGGCCTCGTCAGAGTCTCATGTTGCTGGCGGCAAAAGATATCGTCCTCTTTGCTCTCTGTTGTTCGAATAGATAGAAACATGTCACTGGAATATATGCTGACTTTGGCATCTTTGTGCCTGCAACTCCGGCGGTTAAGCTGCCATTCTCACCACGCATCCGATAGGCTGCAGGCAAAAAATGCTCCGAGTCAACTCAGGACCTAGCATGTTTGACCGTCAATGAACAAGAGATCCCTTCAGCTTGTGCATCCCAATACCCTGTCCCATGGAAAGCAGGAACAACATGGGTATGATTTTCAATATGGGACCCTCTGCTGGACTTCGTTCAGGAGGAGATTGATATCCACCAACCACTTTTGGGATGGCATTCCTCATGGAAGTTCAGGAGGACAGCTCCAAGTTCAATCGTCTAGCCAACGACGTCCATGGTCCGAGTTTCGAAACCCGTTGAACATACCCCAGCACAAGTCATGGTAAAAGCCGCCCTGCCAAATATACCTGCACTTATCTCTTGTGTCTCAGAATCAAAGGTCCCCAATCTTTTTCGTGAAAGAGGGAACACTATAGTAATAGTTCCAAAAACTTTGATAGAGGATCCCATAAATAGGAAGACACATTCATTCTTACCACAGGCGGTCCAAGCCATTCGCTGGGATCCCCGCGTGGCGCAGCCGCGAGCGGCGCTCCAACACGTCTTCCGGCTCGCAGACCTGAATCAAATCTGAACACGGCAGCGCACCAAACCACCGCAGGGATCCTTACATTTTACACCTGAACATTGCCTTGTAAATGGTGGTGTCCCTTTATTTTGGTGGACAAAAGCATGCTTCAAATGGGCAAACTGTATCCTTTAAGGAGTCCATTTTGCCATGCTTTTTTGGACGCTTTTTGGGGGTGTGGGGTGTAGGACACCATTCAGTGTGACCGCTAGGGAAGTACCCTCTCGAGGGTGCCATGTATCAGGTATCTGCCGCCTACTTTGGTTCCTTCTACGGGGGTACGTTGTTTCCTGGTGCAGGGCATTCTGTGCCAGTCATCGTGGTCCAAATGTGAAATGTTGAGCCATTGCTTAAAGAAATCAAACACTTCAAAACACTTTAATACTCCTCAGATTCTCAAGATCGCTTTTTCGCGCTTCAAATCATTTCTGGACTCAATATTATCTGGACCCTCATTTTGAAACTTGAGTTCCAAATTCAAGATGACTCCTGGGAATCCTAAATACTGAATCTTGAAGCGCTTTAATCAAAGCTTGAGTGCTGAAGGTCCTTGTGGAATTCTGAGACCGTGATACATATCCAAGTATTGTGTTCCTTTGGGATTGGCGGTTTGATGGGTTGGGACAATCAACCCTCAAAGGCGCAATCGCCAAACCAGCCCCAAACCCGACCAAACTCAGTAACCCAATTCCAGCCAAAACCACCTTCCCCACCAGTGACGAGGGCAACCCCAAGCACAGACCGAGGGCTGACTGAGTGTTGCAAAGTTAGCAATTCCTCCCAAACCACCAGAAAAAAATGCCCTCCTCCTTTGAGAGTCGTTACCCTTTGGGGTTGTCCTTTTTCGGGGACACCGAAAAAGGAGAAACCAAATTTCACACCAAAGGACTGAGATCCGAACTTGAGAGGCTGCCCCTTTCAGAACCGTCCCTTCACTCGGCCTCCTGAAGCTCCTGATGCCCCAGCATCTTGGAGTCCTCCTTGCATCTGTGGCTGGTACCCAGAGGGCCTTCTGTTTGGTTCCTCTCGGCCCACATCCGTACTGGAGCAAAATTGTAGGCGCTCCTTTTTGAATATGTAGCCTACCCGAAATGTAGAGTAGTTTTACGCGAGACCTCAGTTTGAAGCGGCCCAAAAAGGAAGTAACATCAAAATTGGCACAGACAAATTGACCCGTTGCTTTGATCGGTTCAGTCAGGAGCCTTCCATGTCCCAGGCACACAGCCGTGACTAGGACAAACATGCGAGGCATTCTGCATTGAATTGCATGAGGTTTTTGTTGTTGTTTCTTGTGAAAGAGAGAAACAAGAAAGAAGAAATAAGAAAGAAAGAAAGAAAGAAAGAAAGAAAGAAAGAAAGAACGAAAGAAAGAAAGAAATAAATCACACAACCAAACAACCAATACCAACCAACCAACCAAACAAGCAGGCAGGCAGACAGGCAGGCAGGCAGTCAGGGGCGCAAACACACTGACTCACAGACACACACACACACACAATACACGAAAACAAAACACACATAGCAACACACACGCCAACACACACACACACAAACACAAACTTCCTACCCACACACACAAACAAACAACCTGCAAAACAAAGAACAAACACGGAGAACAAACACACAACCACAAACACAGTCAAAAAATGTCAAAAACACAAACACACCGCGCATTGTCCTCCGATGGATCAGAAGGCGCCTGGCATGCTGCGAGCACTGTTTGATCTGCGACCCAGCCCAGGCAACAGGAATCACGCCGATGAGAACGGCGTACTGTTAGTCGGGTTGAGGATGGGTGTTGCTGTTTTGGGGTAAGGGTTGAATAGGGTTGGAGCCACAAACGCGATGCCGGAGGTCATATCCAGCCACCTCGGTTCAAACTAATACTATAAATCTCCCACGGCAGGTCATATTATCACCTGGCCGAAGCTAGATTGTGCGGCCATACTTGCCTGGTGCAAAGCTGCGTTCTATTCAGAGCCTGGGGCTGTGGGACCACCCGCACATTGGGAGCAGGCAAGGTTTGGTTTAGCTATAGACTTCTGGGACAGGTTGTTGTTCAGGGCCTCGGTTTGAGGTTGAGTAAGGTTTAGGTTAAGGGCTTAAGTCTTGGAGTAGGGTTTAGGCTTAGCAACTTGTTTGCAGTCTGGTCTGGGGTTCAAGTTTAGGGCTTAGGCTTAGTGTTTAGGGCTTGGAATGGGTTTAGGGATTTAGTCTCGGTTTTGGGGCAAGGTTTAGGAGTTAGCTTCCGGCTGTAGGTTTACGGTTCCGGGTTGGGTTGAGGGTTCACGCTTAGATTTCTGTTTCGGCCTGGCCGTATGATTTCTCACAAAAGGAATTCCTTTTCTTCTGCCGAGGACATAAAGCGAGTGATGAGTTTCGAGCTTCGGGCTGAACATTTCTCAGGCCAACAGAACAATTTGGCAAGGTGAGGTGAGGGGCCTCTCATCCCTTCCAAATCAGTGCAACAAAGCCGAGTGGGCCACTGGAGAGCATTATGCCCGTGAATTGGATGCCATGGCACGTGAGCCTTGGCGACGAGCCAACTCACTTCGTGTGAGTGAGAGTGTGTATGTTTGTGTGCGTGGGAGAGCGGTAGCCGGTGGCCGTGGTACCCGTGGTGGCCGTCGTGTGCCCATGGTGCGCGTAGTGGCCGTGGTGCCCGTGGTCGTGGTGCCCGTGGTGGGGTCCCGAGGTGCCCGTTGTGCCCGTGGTGCGGGCGTACGGTGCCGTGGTGCCGTGGCATGGTGCCCGTTGTGCCCTTGTAGTGCCCATGGTGGCTGGTGCCCGTGTCCTGCCGTGCCGTGGTGCCCATGCTGTTCTATTGCTCCCTGTAGCGCTCGCGCTGCCACCATACTGCTCCGCTCTCCGTAGTGCCGCGCTTACCCGTTGTAGTGTTTCCCACAGTGCTCTCCACAGTACTCCTCATACTGCTTCCGTAGTGCCCCCACGTGGCGCTAGCGCTCTCCAGAGTGATAGCTTACAACTCGCGTGTGATCGGGTTCCAACTCTCGTCAGAGCGGCTTCCAGCTTCCAACTCGCGCCAGAGGCAGTTTCCAACTCTCGCTCGTGGTTTCCAACTCCCAGTTTCCAACTCCCACCTCGCCCCGGCGGCAGGCGGGGTCGGTCGGTCTATCGGGTGGATAGTGCGTCTGTGCCTGCGTCTGTGCCTGCGCGTGCGCCTGCGCGTGCGCCTGCGTGTGCGCGCGCTGTCTGCGGTGTGTCTGTGGAGTATCTGAGGTATATCTGCGGTGTGTGTGTGTGTGTGTGTGCGCGCGGTGTTCGGTTGTTGGGTGGGGGTGTGGGGGGGTGGGGGAGATGGGATCCTACCCTTTACCGCATTCAATGGCTTCTGCACTTGCAACATCCAGAAAGGGCTCAATCCAATCACCACAGCAACATGCGAAGCACACGGCAAGCGGAACAGCGGCCAAAAACTGCCAGCTGTTGGCCTCTGTCTCAGACGTCAGGTCCTCAGCAAAAGCCTGCAGCATTTGAACATATCGCATTGCGCCGACTGACTCACCGTGGACCAACTCCCTTAGGAGAACCTATCAAGTGAGACTTTGAACTAGGGCTTCCGCCGGCTTTGCAGCTGCGACAAATCATGATCAAATTTGGCACATTGCTAACTTTGGCACAAAAGGAATCGTTGCAAATAATTATGCGGCTCGTGTGCGCAGCACCAGGATACAGACCCAAATCTGCCTGCAGCCGTTTGAGTACAACAGGTCTGCTGTTCAATTTCTCAAGTCGATCAACACCACCCAACAACACACTTCTGCCGGGCAAGCACCCATATACCTGCGGCGTGAATAATTACAAGCCGTCCGTTCCCAAAGGGGTCAAGCAGCTCACGCTGATCAGTTGACCTCTTGCTTGCAGTCCATTCACAACAATTCAGGAATGCGAGCGTCACAATGGACAGACATATATATGCCTTTAGAAAACTGAACACCTCGCGTGGCGGAGTGTTCGTAAAATAAAGCGGGTGAGCAGGTCCAATATGGCTGCCAAGAATGCTATAAGCGCTGCTGTCAAGCATTGCAATCTTTTTGCCCAACCCTGCCCCTGGCAACACAAAATCCACCCACTCCGACCTCGGCCGTTGAATATCCCTGCAGTGTGCAGAGTTTGGCCCTTATCCGCCTCCCTCTGCTGAGAAGGGGAGGCGCATGGGAAGGGTGTATGCTGCTTACTACTACGTAAAAAGAGCAAGTTCAAGTAGCTAAGTTCAAGACGGCAAGATGACACCCTTTGCCCATCATTCCTATTTAGGGGCTCCAAGGTCCCCCATCTATGCGATCAACTCGAGGCCTGGCTCTCAACCGAGCTCGTGCCTCTCGGGGGTCTGGCATGGCCTCTGTGAGCGGCCCACCTACGACGTCACGGGTGCGATTCGTCAAAGCCGAAGGATCCCTTGCGTGAAACGAATCAACATGGGGGAAAGATATTGCCTGTTCTCTTGATGTACAAGGCCAAAGCATAAATCAATCTGCACAATCACAGGACCTCGATTCAGGGCCTCTTCGAAGAGTTGATGTTGAGCAGCCGAGCCTCTTTTTGATTAAGCTGGGAGTACCTGTTTATCGGGGCCAATGCTGCAGAGGGGAGAAGAACGTCTAGCGACGGTTCACGAACACAAAGATCATGGCCTTAATCCAGTGAGAAACAAACTGCAAAAAGTCTGAGAAGGTCGTCACTTTGGATGTCGTGGGCCATACACCGCTCTGTTCATTTGGTGCTGGTTGGTGTGCGTGAGACACCCAACAATGCCATCCCTCCTCCAAACCGCTCAAGCAGCTGCTTCCCAAAATGGGGGACCCTGTTTCTGTCCTTCTTGACATCATCCCTTTGGGGGTCCCCAAAGGTCGGGCAAAGGTTCTGGGGCCCATCTGTTTGGCACGGAAATCCGTTCGCACGCTTGCGGGCATGGCGTGCTGCCAGCAGCGAGAACCTCACAAAGAAGGCTTTACAAAGGACTATCAAAACCGCCCAGACTCCGCATGTTGCCTCCCAGACAGGTCTCACCAGGTTCGGCCCTCTCCTGAAGATTTCCCAAACGACTGCGGCAGAGCTTTGTGATGCCACCAAGTTGCTTGCATACACACCAGTGATGGCCAGCGGGTGCGTCACCAGAAAGAGATACTCGTCTGTCTTGGTCGGGAGAACCCCCAAAGTTAGTTGTCTGACATGACAATTCTAGGAAGGGTGCCTTAATGTCCCCCCACACGCCAAAATGCCAACACGTGTGAAATGAAACGAGTCCAGCATCGCACCCTCTTTTTGAGCATGGGCGGCCGGACAACCCATGTTTGTGGCAGCGGCAAATGTGCGTCTAATTCCCCCGTCCCAATTGACAAGGGGGTACCCCCGACAATACATCATCGACGTGCGGGAACAAAAGCTTTTCATTTGTAGAAGGGCAACCCGACTCAACCTTCCACCCAAACACAAAACAACGCACAACAAGCATCACTACACAAAATTACACCGTGCAAGTCCCGAGAGCGATGAATGATGATGTTGTAGGCATTAAAGGACACAGGCAACAAGTCGTGTCGCTTGAGAGCGCAAATTCAAAGTGGACCCCAAGGGCCAAACACACATCAGTTCAGCTGTGTCGAGTGCAGCCTCCGGGCTCTGAGGAGCACTTTTACAGGTCAAAATGACCTCAGGGTCCAGAAATTGACTTCACCAGTTAACTTCCCAGTGGCCCATTCTCCGCGTGGCCATGCCAGTGAAACAAGGAACAAGAAATGAATAAAACAACCAGCGCGATCAAAAACGAGAATCAACAAACAAACAAACCATTACAGCAGCCAACCAAAACAAACAAGCACGGGCAAGCAAACAACCAAACAAAGAAGACAAAGAAACACATAACCAAAGAAGCAAAGAAAGCAAACAAACAACAGATAAATAACACAAAGCCAAACCACACACCCAACCAACCAACCAAGCAAGCCAAGCCAAGCCAAGCCAAGCCAAGCCAAGCCAAGCAAACAAGCAAAGCCAAGCCAAGCCAAGCCAAGCCAAGCCAAGCCAACCAAACAAGCAAAGCCAAGCCAAGCCAAGCCAAGCCAAGCAAACAAGCAAAGCCAAGCCAAGCCAAGCCAAGCCAAGCCAAGCCAACCAAACAAGCAAAGCCAAGCCAAGCCAAGCCAAGCCAAGCAAGCAACACACCGCATTAGCAAGCAGAGCGAACACACAAACCGACAAACCAAAGACAACAAACCACCAAACCAACGCGCACATAACCCAAAGAAGCGCACACGCATACAAGGCAAACAACAACAACAACAACAACAACAACAACAACAACAACAACAACAACAACAACAACAACAACAACAACAACAACAACAACAACAACAACAACAACAACAACAACAACAACAACAACAACAACAACAACAACAACAACAACAACAACAACCGGAAACTCTAAAACCGGAACAAACCAAGAACAACACTAACAAACAAGCCGAAACAAAAACAAAGAAACAAAAAGCAACTAAGCTGAACCAATACCACTGAACCAAACCAAGGACCATGAATTAAGATGTCTTTCAACGCGCGGCGTACCAAGCGTAGTTTCGGAGGCCGAAAGCCGAAAGCCGAGCGACGTCGAACATGGAGAAGTTGAAGTTGGGGAACCTGCGAAGCCGAAGCTAACGATGGGATCAAAAGGCTGACGGTTGGG